GGTAGGTAATCACTTTTTTCGATTCAAACATAGCACACTCCCCAAGGGGTATTCTTTAAACTAGTAGAAAAACGTGAATACGTAAATTAGAATAACAAATGAAACAAAGATGAAGAGCCTGATAGGCTAATCAATTAAAATGTTACAACAATGTAAAATAATAATTAACAGAAATAAATGTAATTTTACTGTTTTACTAAGTTTGACTGCAGTCATAGTTTGGCTGCCCAATGATAAACAGGTGTGTTCGTTGCTTTGCACACTGAAACCGAAGCTAACTCAGAGAGTGAATAACTTTTACTCAGTTGTGAGTCACTTTTACTCATTCGTTTGCAAAACATTTTTAGAGCGTAGGTTATTCAACGCATGAGTCACCTACGATAAAAGAAATAATCTGCATACGAATCAGTAAAAGAGACTCATTCTCTGAGTAATATTCGTTTTCAATGTACACTCAGGTCTTTTTTTACACGGGGGATACGTACCGTGTAAAAAAAAAGCGTGTAAAAAAAAACCTACGAGATTTTGATTTTTCACATGCTTAAATGTTTTAAAAAAATCTGATTTTGATGCCATTTGTAATTATAGCATGATATGGTCCATATAGACGTATCTTAAAAATTTCTGTATTTACACCAAAAATTGTGATTTTTCTAAGTATGTCATTCAATTACCTATAGCTTGAAACGGATAATGTGATTGGAATCAAGTCGATAGGGTATATCGTTGTCGAGAAATCGTTTAAAACGTACCGTGTAAATCGCGAAAAACCGTATAAAAATAACCGTGTGAAAAAAAAACCGCGTAAAAAAAAACCGTGTAAAAAAGACTTCAGTGTATTTAGCTTGCCATCTCGGTTAGAGAGTGGATATTGAATAGTCAACTTCAGTGTACAATTTGCATCAAATTCCATGTTTTAACTTGACAGCACGGCCAGAAACCAGGTCTCTGTGTTCAGTGAAGTTATTCGGATGGACAATACCTATCCTCTTAATTCAGAATTCATTCACCATGTAACGCTAGTAACATTTGATTCAAAAGGTTTGCTTACGACATTCACTGAAAACGAATCTTATTCAGAGAGTGAGTCACTTTTACGTAGGTTACTCATGCGCTGAGTGACCAACGCTTTTAGAAATGTATCCTTACGAATGAGCAAAAGTTACTCAGTCTCTGAGTTAGTTTCGTTTTCTGTGTTTCGACTAGATAGGAGATTGCTATCTATAGTAATGTTATTCAGATGGATGAGACCTATTGTATACTGGACACACGGTGACCAGTGAACCGGTAAATCGGGAAAAAGCAGGAAATTCTAAATCACCGGGAGAAGTCCATGAATTTCGATGATGAACCGAGAAAAAATATGCTTCTTCCTCTATTTGCAAAATAATAATAATGGGATTTCAAACTTTTCTTGTCTGATTAACACCAAAATCAAATGAATCAAATTTTTCTGTGTTGTATCGCAACGATTTTAAGAGATTCTTAACTTTTCAGGTCTAGATCAATAAATTTGAAAAAAACTCGAAATAATTCAGTACTATCCATAGTGATATCTAGCTTCACTACCGTGAACCATCACTTTCTGCAACACTTTCCTAGTCTAAATAAGTGCTTTCTGACCGTTTACTACAGTAATTTAACAGTGATACAGTGAATTTGTTCAAATTTAAGTGAAAATATATACTTCTCTTGGGTGATGCTAAACTTGTTCGGGGGTGATGCAATATTCAAGCGAGTGGTGCAATACTTTTCCACGCAAGTCATAACTTATGACGGGTAGGTAGTGCACAGAACATGTACGTGCACAGTAGAGGCTTTAAAAAATCGCTATATTCTCCAACAACTGAGGATCCTTTGAATAGCAACAGCTCAGGAGATGATATCGCATTTTCCGGAGAATTCATTAATATATGGTTCATGGAGCATAAATCCACTTTCATTGAATATTCTACGACGACTTGTAGTTTTACATGAATCAAAAAATGTGTGCTAGAAATAGCGTAAATTTACATTATTTTCTCGAACTGTGTAATGGGAGTCGATTTTCATTTAAATTTGAACAATACATATGCAGTTTTACAGAAATTTCAATGTCGAATAAATGAAAAATTTAGCGGTGCCAGTGGAGTAGTGGTAAGCGTAACTGCCTCATCCTTCCAAAGGGCCTTGGTTCAATCCCAGTCGGCAGTCTGAGGCATAAAATCTCTGATCATGAAGTAAGGTCGTTGATCCCCAGTACATGAGTTAGTTGATGGGTCGATAGGTATGGGAGTTTCCTCCCTTGGTTCCGTAAAATTGGTACTCGGTGCAGAAAACAAGATCGACAGAAAACAAATCAAAAAATACATAAAAGAAGCATTTGGCTCCTTCGGCATAATCACATTCGGCCAAATATCATTCGACTTAATAGCACGCAACCAAAAGGTGTTCAGCCTGTTGGCATCCAGATCCTTATATATTTTATAAGACTAGTATAACAGATAATCTTGTAATACTGTCGTGCTTAAGACATGCACATGAATTAAAAATAATCAACTAACGATGCAAGAGCACGGTGAGCAAGTGAGCATTACTTTTCACCACCATCCGTCCTACGTCATCTTTAAGTTTCTGGCTTTCCATTTTTCATTTGCAAGTATTTTAACCCTCGAGACGCAACCCAGAAGAAGAAAAAAAATCGAAAGAAAAGTAAAATAGCGAAATTCTACCATCGGAAGCTGCGGTGCGGTTTCCGTAACAGACGATCGAAGGTTGGGGAGTCATATTTAACATTCGTATGTGTGCATATGATTTTACCCCCATTTGGCTGCTGCTACTGGTGCGGAAGGAATTCAAGCGAAAAATCTGTTACTTTGCATGAGGGTGGGAGGGAGTTTTTTTTTTAGTTGAAGTCTTTGTATGGTAATAAATGTGTTCTGCTTCTGACGACGACGACGCTGATGATGATGATACATGTGTGTAGATGAAAAAGTGCATTCATTAACAGAAGAGCGTACAATTTCTGAGATTCATTATATAAATATTTCTTTTGATCAGAAGTGAGCTTGAAATAAATGATAAAACCTTAAATTCAAAATGTCAAACAAAAGAGATATTCAAATTACCTCAAATCTGAAACGATGGTTTATTTGTATTTTCTCAATTTGCCACAAGAATGGGAACAATAGGAAATCGATGATCTTTCGATGGTATTTCGAAGGATTAGACTCTTCTGTTTCAAGGCTCATTTCATTCGGACTCGTATACGCTCGATGGCGCCAGATAAGCAGTTTAGCCATAGGAACCACTTGAGTTGAAGTATCTATTTTCACTTTTCCAGCATTCAGCAATCGCTTAAGCTCCAAAAATCACATATCGTCCCTTTCTTCGTGTAATATGATTTGAGTAGATTTGCGGAGGCTTAGCCCGGCGAGGCCACTCGAGTGCCCATCCCTGGAGGTAAGCTCAAAACTGACCTTCCCGGTCCAGTTTTACCTTGCTTCTTTTTGAGCAAAAGGCTCAGACCATGACCTAGCCGAAAACAGTTCCCATTCAAAGGACGGAGTCGGTTCACACTTTACGGTTGCCGTGAGGCAAAGGCGAGCGAAACAGAAGCTAAAATGTAGATCGTTTGCCATTCATCGTTCCTTTTTGAGTGTCTTTTCCTGTTGCCTTGCTGGCAGAAAAGGATGTGGGAAAAAGGAACGAGATGGTTTTATCCATGATGGTTTACATGTTAGCACACTGCTGAAGACGAGCACCGGCTGAGACAGGTAGAGTATGTGAGTTGTAGCCGGAAAAAAAGGAATACATGTAGCAATGTTAGACCCTTTTGGGACCGAATTACCTCTTATCAATCTTGTCGGGAGTGGCGGTTGCTTGTCGGAGCAAAGGAATTAGCAGCTAAACTGTGGCGAGACGTATGCTTAGACTGTCTAGTAGTAGATGATGACAAGATGCATGATTCCAGATCGATCGTCTGCACTGAAAACTGGGAACGTTCAAAAAGTGCATTCAAACGCGAAACGAGTTTCTGCTGACCGGATTTCACATTAGCAATACAAAAGCAAATCATTAATTGATCTTTGCATTGTTGCCCTGCAGTGTTCCCTTTCACGAGTTCATACTCGATCAAATGTCCTTCCTTAGTCTAATAACTACTGGGATAGTCTAGGGTGATTCAAGAGAAATGAAATTCTGCAAAGAGTTCTGAGCTATTTGTAGAGCTAACTTAGACTAAGTCTCATTTTGAAGATTCCGGATGCAGAAGAATTAAAGATTCTGGAAATATTTGGGTGTTGTAGTAATTACAGTTTCGAAAAATTCCTCGAATTCACTATACTATCTCTATTAACTTTTGAACTCTCCTCCAATTTTTATTCGGAATTTTATAAACTCACACAGTTCAAATTCAACTATCAACACTGCACTGGTTGTTCCAGTTGACACGAACTGGCCTAACCATGTTGATAATTATTCTCAACCGCACCGATAGTAAATTACCACAGAAACTACACTGGATGATTTCATAGTTTTCTATTTATTGCACAACAATAATTTAAGCTTACCGACAAAACAGGAGGGACATCGTTGTTTTCAATAAATAAATAAATTACACTTTGGTAAATAAAATAAATAACAGTTACATGACAATTACTGCACAGACCAAGAGAGGTAGTAGGCACATCCTGGTATTTACTTCGTCTCTGATCCTTTCCTTTCCTGTAGCTACCGCTTTCTGCTGCTCCGTTCGATCTTCCTACGCTGATTTGCGCTGTTTCTTGGCTTCTCTGTTGAATTGTTCATGTGTGACAGTTTCTCTCTCACTGCTCACACGTTTTCCTCTTGCATTGCAGTCTCAGAACATGTGCGATTCCAATGTTATTTCCTTCACTCGCGGAAATAGACCAAGTTGCACGTTCCAATTGAATTCTCTTCTATGGGTTTCCTATGATTTGACTTTTGGGGGGGTTTTGGCGTTGGGTTGTGTGGTTTGCAATTTCCGTATTTTGCTAATTTTAGTAAGCTGCAGGCTGCTCATAGTAGTACCGGTAGGGGTCATTGGGGATTCGGGCTGGGCGGACCACATAGGTGTTACGACGGTTGTCATGGCCGCCAGTGTGCACCTGGAAGCTGGTTTCCTCGTGGTGGTCGCTCTTGAAGATCTTCTTCAGAGCCAGGATACTGGCAATGGTGAGGGCAACCTTGGAGATGACCAGAGCCTTGAAGGCAATGGCACCGAGGGTCTTCAAACCGATTGGGCCAGCAATACCCACAGCGGTCAACATGGCGGCGATGATGTACCGGCTTCCCTTGTTCTTGCTTCCGCTGCCTCGGCCTTCGGTTGTCAGATCCATCTTGACGGTGTGTGTCTTCAGGAATTTGTCCAACTTCTGGATCAGGGCACTGTCGGTGCTGCTCAGTCCTTCCAGGGCACGGGCATCCGACAGTTCAGGGACGGTTTCGTTCTCGGCATCATCCGATGAGTTCTGCTTGACCAGGGTTACTCCATCGACCAGTTGAATGGAATCCTTGGGAAAAATTCACATGATAATTATCAATGAAAATCAACACACCGTTCAAAAAATCTTAACTCACCATGTCAATTGCTCTCGAAATCGAGGTCAATGCTTTCTGTTTCAGGCACTCAGTGAAGTCGCTCTTCTCCTGACAGTCATCGTACACCTTTTGCAGGATGCAGATTTCACCTCCGAACCAGTTGCTTCCGGCCGCCCGCCACGAGCACGAGGCAGCACTGAGTGCCGATGATGCGAGGGTGACCACTAGCAGCAGCTCCAGAACCAACGATCGGTTGCACATTTTGAAAGGTTGTTTTCTTCTGATTCTTCACTCGCCCTGCACTACTCACTACGATTCGATTCGAATCTCTGCTACGAACCTTCACTCACTGGTAGATCCGTATGGGAAGACACGATGTGCTCTGTATGACTATCCAAACTGTAACTAGTGAAATCCAATGATTAGCACCTGCTTTTAAATGCAATTGAATGCTCTGTTTGATCTGAAGAATAATAATCGGTTTGGTCCGAGCTGCAGTTGATTTTCCTTTTTTTTCTTGCTTCGCACCCACGCTAACGCTCTAATCAGTGCAGTTCCCCACTTCGATGCATAACGTGAAAAGCCGTCGATAGCATAAGCGATAGGAGAAATTGCACATAACGTCGTGCGGTACGGTTGGCGGTCTTGAGCAGTCCGCATGCGGTGGTATGTAGCTTGTTTGAAGTGCACATACGAAGGTGGCAAAACTAGTCACTGGAACTAAATAGTATGCAGCGCAGTGCAGCATGGCTGGGCGCCGGTGGGTGCACTGCTGCGCCCGAAATATGTAGTCGCACAGTGGGTTTGTTGATTTTTTCTTGCGGCTTTTGTTGTTTAATTTTTTGGGTGAAGTTTGTTAATAAGAACGGGATTGCTACGGTTGAGCTCTTTTTAATTCTTGTTTATTTTTCATCGGCCGCTGTTCTGCACGAATTGCAGATCACTGACGCCAAGGAGGCTACTACACGCCTAGTTCAAAGATATAGAACCCATCAATACGGGGGCCGGGATCACCGGGTTTACATTTTACATTCGTTGTTTAACTAAAAATCTTACAGTTTCTTACATGGAGCGAGAGAGAGAGAGGAGGGGATGAGGTCTAATAATCACTCAAAACCCAAAACCTCATAATCTACGTCCTTGGCATATTAGAGTGAGGGGTTAGCAAGTAACTACAGCCCATACAATTTGTTGAAAAATTCGTATGAAAATCTGTCTATGCGTGACGAGGAGGAGCTAAATTCGCTCAAAAACGTCTATGTATTTCATGAACAGTCTCTGGAATAATTTGTAAATAAACCAATTAATGTTACCAATTGCTACAGTTGGTTAAAAACCCAAAAGAATACTGACTGATCTATGTGAGTACTACATGATTCATTGAAATTATTATCTAATCTTTAGAAAATAGGATCAAATCATGTTTTCAGAAAATTTACAGAACTTGCGATCGCCAGAATCTTCTTTTTGGGACACATTGAAAACGCTGCCATGAAGGCATTTTTTGTGTAACATTTTTAAAAATATCTCTGAATCAAGCTAAGAATGTATAGAATCACAGTGGGCATTGGTTGTCAGGATAAGTACATTTGTTTACATCATGGCTTCGCCGGAGCAAGCACATCGCAATTCGATCCTGCATACTCGAAACGAAAATCCCGGTCTATCCGCTCCTGGCGGTTTTTGATCAAATCCCGGGGCAGGAATTTTATATCTCGGTTGACATGAAAAGTGCCCCGCAAAAATGTAAAATCAAAAAGAAGTCGAAACTCCCAAAACAGTTCCTTGTCAGGAAAGCAATCTGCAGTTATGGGCTGAAAAGCGAAACTTTCGTTACTTCTTGGAGGATGAGTCAGCAAATTTACCAGGAGGAGTGCCTATGGAAGAGCAGCATGAAGTGGATTGCCTATTCCGGCCGGACTTGGCAAGCTGCCACTACTCAAATTCCGCCAAATTCCCAAGGAGATGAATCCAGTCAATACTCCGGGACTAAGGCCAATTGAGAAATACTGGTCGATAGTGAAGAAAAGGGTGGAACTGCAATTGACCTGAAAGATTTCCAGCGGAAATGGGATTTGATAACCAAACAAGTGGGAACAGGGCTCGTGCAAAAAAAAAGGACCGTGTACGAAGAAAAGTTCGAACAATTATGGTAAGAAGGAAGACTGAAAACAATAGTTTTCCAATAAGCATAATACCTACTAATGTTTAGCTGTTATGTTTATCTATTAAAAATAAAACGCATTTTTAAGCCCCAACAATATTTTCGTGTCTGATTTTTTTTCGTGTTCAACCTTTATCGAAATTCATTTTCGGAACTTTTAGCTTTTGCCTTTTGAATATTTTGCAGTCGCCTTTAGCAGAGCTCTAAACATTCCAACGGAATTTGACATCCCATTAGCCATAAATACGGACGTTTGCTATACTGTTATTTTCGTATGTGGACGTTAACTATAATGTACGATAGCCATAATGGACATTTGCCATAATTCTTATAATCAAATTAAGTAACATTTTTCAAATACATGTTTACTGTATACAATATACAATATTTCAATTGAATATATCATACAAAAAAATCAAAGAGCAGCTTATGCTGTAAAGAAGCAGTGAACTCCAAGAGTAACATAATTTATGAGTATTTAATTATAAAAATTTTAAAAGCATTTATCTGTTGAACAACAACTTATAGTATAAAGAAGGAGTCAACTCAAAGCCAGAAATTATTTGCGCATTATCATTTCATTTTGCTAAAGAGAAAAATTATGTGTAAGTACAGTATCCGTTCGACTTTGACATGGCTCAATTTGGGCAATAAAACAACAAGCCGTTCGATTTTTGGGCGGGGTTTGCTTAAACGGATTTTGAAGATTATATATTTTCGATACATGCGATCACAATTTTGAATGAAATTTATATTATTTAACTCTTAGTCATGAAGATGATATCTCTCTACTTCTTGGTGGTCCAAAATCTTCGGAATCATAAAAAAAAATTCAAAATAAAACCTTTCGGTTTTGGCAACACTACATTTTCGGGCTTGTTGACAAAATACATACAACGGGTACTGCATTTAACAAAATCATGACTCTCGTCTTTATGGCAATCGTACGTGTAGTAAACATCCGTGCTAATGTCTGGTCACCCCATCGGAAAATCTGAGCTTATGTCATAAATGATCTGACTCCGATAGCAGAACCGTACTCAGCAGCATTTGCCACCAACAAATTTTATAAGGCGGAAAAATTGCTTTAATGTTTCTTTAAGATCTGCAAAGTTCCCTAATTTATACTTCTTGAAAATTTTCTCAATTTCTTCCAAGTTCCATAATATTTTTTTTTTTCAAGTTCTTTCAAATCTACCAAGATTTCTGAATATCCATGGATTCCTACAAACATCAGGAAAGACCTTGAACCTTTTTCTACGACTTTTCCTAAACATCTGGGCAAAACAAAGTTTCCAACATTTATAAATCAAACCCTGAAGTTCTAAGAAGTATATGATGAATTTATAAAATACTCTCTGAGTTTCTGGAAAGTTTCCTGATCTTCTACGAAGTTCACTGAGCCTCATAAATTTTGGCTGCACTTCTACGAAGTTCCTTGAACTTATAAAAATAAATCCGTGCACTTCAATGAAGATTTGCAAAGTTCCTCGAATTTCAACGTAATTCGCTTGACTTCTACAAGGTTTTCAGAATTCCTATAAAATAATATCGATGATTTTGTTTCACTGTGCCAAACAAAGTTTCCTGAATTTCTACGGAATTTCCTGATCTATTTTAAGTCTTAAGAAGTTAAGAAGTCTTCAGAAGTGTCCTTTAGCGGCACCAGTGTTGTAGTTGTAACCGTGACATCTTCTCACTCCAAAGAGGCTAGATTCAATACCAGTCAGCGCCGTCGGGACTTTATGAGGCATAATATCTCTGATCACGCCTTCCTTCGAAAAGGAAGTAAAACCGTTGGTCCCTGGTCCATGAGTTTGATGGGTTGATATGTAGGTGTAAGAGCTGCCTCCCTGGCGTCAGTAGCATTGGTACTCAGTACGAAAAACAAGATCGTCCTGAAACTGAGAGTAGAACTTTTATGAAGATTCATAAAATAAATCAAAGATCCCATAACGTCCACGAATTTTCCCAAACTTGAATAAGGTTCTCTTATGTTTCTAAAAAAAAAATGCTGAAACTCTGCGATGATTCCTGAATTTATATAAAAAAAAATCTTGAATTTCTTTGATGCCCTTTGAATGCCTAAAAACTCATTAAATGTTAAGTTGTAAAAAATGAAGAAAAATCTTTTTGTTAAAAATATAAACGATAATTTTTTAATGTGATTTTGAGTAAAAATTGTAATAGTTTCGTACATTGAATTATCTCATAAATAGTGACCTCAATATTTATAATATATTTACTATAGAAAACAGATAAAAAATGCAAACTTTTGAAGTATTTTAAATCATGGACACTTGAAAATTGACAAAAATCGTAGAACATCCCCAACTAACAATTTTCACAGTGTAAACGCTTTACTCATTTCATTTATACAGCCTCGAGCTGTATTCAAACGTTATACGATATGAGGAAACCTTAACTCAACCTCTATACAAGCAAATCTGGTAAACTTAGTCAGCTACTTATGGCTGTTGGGACGGTTGGGACAAGTTCATAGCTTATTTCATATCTATTAAACGCTTCTATACAGCTGTTATCCTGCTGTTTAGTTGTGTGTGAACTTGAAAGACGCTTACTCAACCTTAACCAAATTTTCCAATAATCACTACACAGCTTTCTCTTGACACCATGTTAAATTTTGTTTACGTTTTTTTGTTTTTGGAGGGATCTATCATGTTTATTTTACTGCGAATCAAATAAATCGAAATTAGTTACAAGCACACCACCAAATTATCTAACCCTGCACTGGAACCTGGAATCAAACTCGAGACGACCGCATTGGCAAACCGTGACACTACCAACTGTGCTACGCCAACACTTTCAACTGATGTAAAAAAAATCAACATGCCTTTCTTCAACAAAATCGCTAAGTAGAGGCTTAATTATAGTGCACATGAATCACTTTTCTCGGATAGTTCCTTCAGCTTTGTAAAGGAGCAGAGTAAAAGCTGTAAAACTGCACACGTCTAAAAATAAACCTAGCTGACTGTAAAATATGCTTCCAAAGTAGCGCTAACACAGTTTATGAGCTCAGTACTGGTTGTTTAGTTGTTGAAAAAGCACTTTTGATGTTTATGTTATTCAGCAAAAGTTGTTGTTTGTATAGAAGCCATCAAATGAGTAATACATTCACTTTAATAGCTTTGTTTTGCAGCTACAAGTTGAAAGTTGATTAATATTTGTATAGAAGTGGTATTAGCGTTTATTGGCTGCTGTTTTTCAGT